TACACCTACTCAACCAGAAAGAATGTGTTACTAAAATCTCTCCATCCACGCCAGAGTATTACAAATTTCGAGATGCCATGTCTCTCAAGATAACCTTCAAAGGGAAGGAGGACACACTTCACCTCATCAACTGTTACACTCATATTGAAGTGTACTTTACTGGTCCTACCCAGCACTGTCCATTAGTACGTAAGCTACTCACAACAGCTATTGATAATAGCAGTGATGCAATGCACCTCAAGCATAATTACGTCAATGCTTTTGCTTGCCCTTCAAAGAGGAGTAGCTGCTACTGTATTGTTAGATCCAGTGGAGATGGTAATATTGTGAATTGTACAGTTTGTCCAGTGTCAGCTACTATCAGTAGTGATCATTGGTACTGGTTTGAATCAGGTATGTGTATACTAATAATTATTATTTATTATTTATCACTTGTGTATAGGACCTGCAGAGAGTAACAATGGAACACAAATAAAACAAGATAATGATCAGCCATCAGATGAAAGTAAAGAATTATTGTTATTATTATTAATATCATTATTATTATTATTATTATTATTATTGTTGTTGTTGTTGTTTTTATTATTTTAAAAAATCATTTAGGACCTGTTGAGAGTAACAATGAAAGACAATTAGAACAAGTTAATGATCAGCCATTAGATGAAAGTAAGGAACTATTGTTATTATTGGTGTTGTTATTGTTGTTATTTTTTATCATAACATACATGTATGTGTATAGAAATAATTATTATTTATAATTTATCACTTGTGTATAGGACCTGTTGAGAGTAACAATGGAACACAAACAAAACAAGTTAATAATCAGTCATTAGATAAAAGTAAGGATTTTTGTCATTATTATTACTTTATAATTACTATTATTTTACTACAGACCTCCTGTTAGACAAGAAGCCTCAAAAGAGTGACCTCGTTAGGTTATTTAAAAGTTCTGCTGCCCAGTACATGCTCATTGGTACTGCACTTGATGTTGAAGTGGATGATTTGTTACCTAATCCTCAGTCAACCACTAAAAACCTCATACTAGTGTTCAATAGATGGATAGACTCTGATAATGACGTGACCTGGAGGAAAGTACTTCAAGTTTGTGACGATTATCCAGGCCAACTTGGAAGAGTAAAAGCTGAAGTGAAAGAATTTCTATCATCAGACAGAGCCAGGGGTAGATCTAGCCAGGGTCAAGTTGTGCAGTTATTTGAAATTAACTTTTTCATGTGGATGACTATGTAAACTGTGAAGCATGACTTTGTTTTAACTAACCTATGCATAATTCTCTTTGATATTTTAGCCGCTAATGAGGGTTTCAAATAGCATGGAGCCCGCTAGTCTTGCGCAATAATAACACATTGTCACTATCATAACAATAACCCATGTACACACAATGCATAACTATAGACCTTTTACACGGAGAGGTGTGAAGGAATTTTTATGAGCAATAATTAATTGATAGTGAAGCCT